AGATACAGTTTTGTCGTTAGGGTTTTCGACATAAACTGCGATTCCAGTTTCTTCCAAATCTCATCCGCCGATTTGAGATGCATAACGTGATACATAACTTCATCTGCAAGGCACAACCAAATCGTCCCGGCCACCTGTTCCTGCAGATCTTGCCAATCATCGTCATCCATCCCCTTTGGCTTTTCTGCACGCAGCCCTTTCTGAATTCCTTGTTGCGCCAATAAATCTTTTACTCTCGTCTGCCATAATCTAAAATTGCCATGACCATCAAATTTCGAGACCTCGAATTTCGATCCTCCCGTCATCTCCGTCGCCCAATCAACCAGGCTCTGGTACCACTTGTTGAGGGAAGATGACAATATAGCACACGAATTAAAAAACGAGAAAAGTAAACAACACAAGATTTACGTGGTTCGGCAATATGCCTACGTCCACGGCGGCTGAGGGATCTTTATTATTCTTGATCGTATCAAATACATCAATACACCATGTATTTATACTAAATACATCAATCCACTCCGCTCACTTCGCTCAGTCGCTCCGCTTCCCTCGCTACGTTCGTTCCGTTACGCTCGCAGGCATCAGCCTGCCCTCTTCTTTTGTCAATATATGAGCCATACTAACAACAAGAATAACAACACAACCACAAATTCAGACAAACATAGATTCCATTAATTCATAGGTTCAATACATCAACGATAACATAAGAAAAAAACATTCAAATCAACATTTTTGGCCCCTCAACATGACCATGAATTCCAAGCAAACTAAGAAGAACAAATAGTACAACCACAAATAAGAAACACATAACAACATTCAACTTCCTTTTCAGTTTATTTGCCAGAACCAACACAACTTCTTTATTTTTCTGAACTTCATCCACAAGATCATTCAATTTGCGTTCAAACTCACTGTCTTCGTCCAAATATTCATCCATTTCCATTACGCTTTCATTGTACATTTTTTCCAACGCAACTTCTGTCTCAACTGCTCTTCCAAAGACTGATTCTCAGATTTCAATCGCGAAAAATAGGTTTTTCGGAATTCAGGAAGTGCGGGATCAATCCACTCGAAAAATTTGCAGTCATCCCCGTGCTAAACATTTAAAATTGAAAAAAATTAGGGTTATAGAAATTGAGGTTTTTTGAAAAATTAGGGTTTTTTAAAAAATTGACTAAAATCGAGAAGTTCAATGAAACCAGAGTCATTCCCCTTGATACATTGAAAAATCAGAAAATTAGGGTTTATAGAAATTAGGGATTTTGAAAAATTAGGGTTTATAGAAATTGGGGTTTTTGAAAAAGTAGGGTTTTTGAAAAAATTGAGTAAAATCAAGATGTTCGATGAAACCGATGTCATCCCCTCTAGATTGAAATTGAAAATATTAGGGTTTATAGAAATTAGGTTTTTTTTAATAAATTAGGGTTCTAAGAGTGTCAAATCGAGAAATTAAAATTCGACCTCACCTTTCTGCTCGAACACCACGCCTGCAAGGATTGTCAAATGTCATGGAGGTTAAGACGTCGACTTCCTTACTGTGACGGCAGACCTTCTTTGCGGGAAAGCTTCTTCCGGAACTCTGGCTTGCTTGAGATGAAGACGACATCTTCACCCAAATTACAGAAAAGTGACGGGTTGTAAATTAAGGGGAAAATACAGAGAGATTTTTAGGGTTGGGGGTCGATTTAGGGATTGGAAATTTTGGGTGTGGGAGTAACGGGGACCCGTTTTTATACCATGCCACGCAGAAATGAGAATTTTCCACGTATTTAACTTATATCCACGCAGCAAATGGGTAATTCCACGTCGACTTAAGCTGTCGAACACGCTGGCGGGTTTTGAAGCTCTGACCGGTCTGAAGTTTATTTGCAATAACAAAGGTTAGTATTATATTGCATTTATCCAAAGTTTGGGATAAAATCGCCAAACGCAAAAAGGTTGAGGTCTTTAAAGCAATTAAACCCTAATTCTTTTAT